CACCCAGCCGGGGCGGATGCCGCCCAGCGCGCCGTCCGCCAGGGGCTTGATGGCGATCATAAGGTTCTTGGCAAACTTGTCATCAGAGGACTGGTCCAGCCTTTTAGGGAGGGTGAGAGGGGGGGCGGGGGTGTGTGGTTGGGGCAGGGGCAGGGGAGGGGCGGAGAGTGCGGCAGGGCGGGTGGCCTGTTTGGGTCGGTTGCACGTGAGTCGGGGGCAGGCGCTCGTTTTCTTGCGTCGATTGCAGGAAGCACACGAGACGGATCGGCAGCGCAAGAAGTGTCCATGGTCCCCGCTCTGCAACGCAGTGGGATGCCTGGTGGCATCCACTGCGCCCCACTCCGAACCGATCCCAAAGCAGAAACAGCACAGGAAAGTGCTCACGCGACCCTCATCCCACATCTTGCCCATCCAAGAAGCCCTCGGCCCCTGGCCCCGCTAGTGTGCGCACCACGACTGGAAGGTGATGGCGTCCAGCTCAGCCGCGTTGGGTGTGTTCCAGGGCTCAGCCACGTCCACAGTGTCCACCACCTGGGGCCAGGCAGGGGGGGTGCAAGCGGGCAGCACCGCAGCAATGAAATCTTGAAGGTGTCAGGTCTTCAGCGACTTGTGCAGCGCCGAGCCTGCCGATGCCCTGCGCGCACATCTCCCGCCCCATCTCGAGGGGTTGCCCCGCAGTGGATGCTCCCGTCTGGCCCCCCCTCTTGCCTCGTCGAACAAACAACCCGCCCGCGCACACGGTGGGCCCGTGCCTCACACCATAGCCCCCCCCTTCCCAGGCCGCAGGTTGGTCCCACCTCCTTGAGCAGTGCCACCAGGCGCGCGTACTCCGCCAGTGAGGCCCTCTGCTGCGGCGTGAACTGGGCCAGCTCCTCCTCCTCCAAGGGCAGCCCCACCATCAGCTCAGCACTCACCAGCAGCGGCTTGCCGTCAACATACAGCCGCGTGCGGCCCTGCCCTGCGGAGGGGGGGGGGAGGGGGGGTGGTTTGTGCATGCGTCGAGGGTTAGTGCAACATGCTTAAAACTGTGTTCGTGTGCACGGATGCGTGCGCCCGCATGTGCACGGGTGTGTAAAATTGCATGCGTGAAGGCGCGCACGCACGTGTGTGTGTGTGTGTGTGTGTGTGTGTGTGTGTGCGTGTGTGTGTGTGTGTGTGTGTGTGTGTGCGTGTGTGTGTTTGTGTGCGTGCGTGTGTGTGCGCGTGTGTGTCCCCTCGCGCGCGTGAGTGCGCTCCTGTACGCGCGCATGAGGCTGTGCAGGGGTGTCGCATGTGTGGTTGGTTGCGGCAGTCCCACCCAGCCTACGCAGCTGCGCCCTCCCCCCCCTGTCCCCAGCGTCGCCTCACACTGGGTGGCGTCGTATAGCTTCACGCCATACTCCTCGGCCATGGCCAGGAAGCGCTTCTGGGTGGGGCCCACCCACTGGCCGCCCACGTCGTACCAGTACACGCCACCAACCTGAGGTGTGGGGCGGGGGGGGGGCACTGCGTGGGACGCGGCCTGCACGCGGCTCACTGGTGCTGTGGCGGGGGGTCTCCCTCACTGTGCTCGCGTGAGGCCACAGCAAGGGGTCCTGAGTGGTCAATACACGAATTTTGGTGTCTGCATGCGTACGTGTGTGTGTGTGAGTGTGTGTGTGCTGGGCTAGCGTCTGTGTGTAAATGCGGGTCTGCGTGTGTGTGTGTGTGTGTGTGTGTGTGTGTGTGCGCATGTGCGGGGGGGTCGTGCGTGGTGCCGTGGCGTTCCAGCCGGGTTGCAACTCCGAGATCCCCCCCTGCACCCCCGCTCCCCCCCTCCCAGCCCACCACGGGGTCCTCCGCCTCGCTCAGCGTGCAGGGCACGGGCGTGCCGTCAGCAAAAGTCACGGGCTCGCGCAGGCAGCGCCCGCCGAGGCCGCCGCGCGCCTCCAGCACCGCCACGCTGTGGCCCTCGCGCAGCAGGTTGCGCGCAGCGGTCAGGCCAGCGATGCCGCCCCCCACCACCACCACATCGTAGGGCCCGGCCGGCGCAGCCGCATCCGGGGCGACGACGCCTGCAACAGTCGGGACGTTTGGGGTCGGTTCGGGGGTTTGGTGGTGGGGCGTGTCGGCGTGGCTGGCCGGGGAGGTTGGTGGCAGGACACCGCCAGCATCCCGCCTCGCTGGCCAAAAGCGGCTCAGTCGCCTGGACCACGCCGTCGCTGGAAAGTTCAGCCATGGCTCACTCATGTTGCGTTGAGATAGCTGACAGGCGCGGGAAGCAGCAGGGCTCCTGGATCAATCGGCCAGCTCGTGGCACACTGCTTCAACTGGCACAATCTGCTCGCTCCCCTTGAGCGTCACAGTGACCAAATTTTACTGTTCGCAAGCACCTGCAAGATAATTTTTTCGCGGACACGGGCTCTACATCGAGTCCACCTTCGCAACAGCATAATGCTCACCTACGGAGTGCTGGGTGACACCGACCCGGCGGCAAATCAACTGGGTCGGCGCACATCAGGAATCACACAGAGTCATTTTAGTTGCTCGTTGCATAGGCTACCCTCAGGATCGCGCCTATCATGGTGCACACCCTGCCGCTGCTGCCGCTACCCAGCCGGCATGATGACGGGCGAATGGGATGACGCTGCTCGTGCTTTGCGATGCCTTCCAGGCCCGCTCTCAAAATCATCACGTGCAAGGGAAAGGCACTCAAACTGAGTCTGCCTGGAAGGATGGCGGCAGAGGGCCTGCCAAGCCACCTGCGGTGCACGTTTTGTGAAGGGGTGGTCACGCGCACACGCTTACGCACCCGAATCAGTCACCAGGTGCGGGCCAGCAACCGTTGCTGTTCAGACTCCGCATTGCCTTGTCAGCAGTGCATGCACAGCCCCAGGGCAGAACCCGCAGGCGGTAGGGGCGGCAGTGTGGCTGGATAGGTGATCTTGCTGTCGCCTTGGAGTGATGTCACCACTTGCTGCAACGCTGAGTGCTGTTGCAGCCAGTTATGCGGATGCTCTGCAACACTCCGTCCGCACTCTGTTATGCAAAGTCTGTTCATGTGTTCGAAGCATTGCTAGCTGTCAATGTTTGAGTCCATGGGTGGTGTTTGCAGCCAGGCACGGCTTGGTGGCCAGAAACGCGGGGGCTGTGCCCTCCATTGCAGGTGCGCCTGAACCTCAGGAATGTGCCGCTGACAAGCATGCTGTGAACAAGCATTCATGCTGTGAACAAGCATTTTAACGGCTGCCTACCACATGTGTAGTTGGTGTGCACAAAATACTCTGCTTACGTGCACGCCAGTGGAGCTCCTGTGCGCGTGCGTGCACTTGAGAGTCTGCTGTTGCCGTGCGCTCGCACAGCGTGGGGGGCGGCCTCGGGGTGTGGCATCCGGGGCATAACACGGGAGCGGCTTCAGGCAAATGCGCCGGCTTGACTGGTGGCTGCAGGCGCGGCAGTATCTGATTGTCAGCGTTTGCCATTACCCCCCACAGCCCCAGTGATACTCTGTGCTCTGTCGGGAGGAGAGGAGTCACGTGCTGTGCCGCACGTTGCTGCTGTCAGAGAAAACAACGCGAAAGAATGTTGCGCCTGCAATACTACTTAAATCTTGTGAGTCATAATGGTTCTGTGCTAAGTTTGTACAGTACAAGGGGCAACGACCTGCATGAATGACTCCCACTGGGCATGTGCTGCCAGCGTGGCTGACAGGGTTGCTGAAAAGTCCCACGGGACACACATGTGGCGACATGAGCTTGAACACCATGGAAATGCTGATGGAATCGGGTATACGTGCGTGTATTTATATATGAAGCTGCCCCATACCCCATACCGTCCTGAAATCGTGTCACACAGACGGTATGTGGCAGGAAGAAATAGCAGACAAGCCTGGTTGCATTGCCGTGCACCCACGGGCTTTGACATACGTTTGAATAAGGTTGGCCCCCTACCCCCCTAAGGGTGGCAATCGCCCCCCTGGTGCGCCCTAGCCCGTCTCTCTGAAGCGAACCCCCCTGAACCTGGTCGGTGCACACCCCGCGTGACACCCTGCAACTATGCAGCCTCACGCTCCGGCATCAGCCGCCGTGCCCGCCGTGCCGGCCGCTCACCACCATCCCGCTGGCTCAACCCCGCAGCCTCCCCCGTCCCGCCGCGGTGGCCAGGGTGCGCCGCGGTCTCCTTGGACGCATCCTCCTCCAGCGCCAGTGGGAATGACGTAACCGGCGCCACGCTGTGCTGGAACTGCCGCGGGGAGCGCGGCGAGGGAGAGGGTGAGGTGCGCCACCCGCGCGGGTCCAAGGGGTCGGCTGCCACCACAGCCGCAGTCACCGAAACGGCTGCGCCCGCGTCGCCGCCGACAGGGCCGCTGTCGAAGCCCGCGCGGGGCGTGGGCGTGGCGGCCGCGCATGCTGAGAAGGCAGGTGTTGCCGAGGCCAAGGTGGGCGTGGACCCAGGCGCTGACGCCGGCCCTGGCGGGACCACTACGCTCAGGACGCCGCTTGCAGCGCGCAGCGAAGAGCCAGCACCGCTCGGCGGCAACGCTGCGCCGGGCGCAGATGTGGAGCCTCTGGACGGTGGCGGTGCCGCAGTGCCGTCTGGCGAGCCCCGCCCGAATGGCAGCGCTTGCTTGGCCTGGCCACTGGGGGCCTGGGGCGAGCTGCCCCCTGCCCCAACGCCACCGCGGCGCCGCGCGAGCGCCGCCGCGTCCAGGGCAGAGCGCTGCTGTGCGGCACGACGGCGGCGGTCGTCCCTCTCTGCGGCGTCGCGCTCGTCCTGCATCAGCTGGCGCTGCGCGTTGCTGAAGCCCTCCACGAATACCTGAGAGGTTGTGAGTGCGCGGCGCTCTTCTGTGAGGGCGGCGCCTAGGGTGGCAGCTGCAGGAGGGACAGGGTCAAGGCTGGCGACCCTCAAGTGCCACTAAGTGTGAAGGTGTGTGTGTGTGTGTGTGTGTGTGTGTGTGTGCGCGCGCGTGCACGTGCGTGTGTCTAAGGAGGGGCGTGGTTCATGCAGGTGCCTGAGCCAGTATCTGACCGCGCTGCTCACCAGAAGCAGACAAACGGTGTGCGCTGACACACAGCTCCTAGGATGTGCATGCGCGTACACTTGCACACTGGCAAATATGCAAAACACCTGCATCAGCTCGCATGTACACACACACACAAGCACACACGCACGCACGCACACACACGCACACGTACACGCGCTGACACACACGTTTGGTTGCATGCGCACACTTGATCGCGCAATATGCCACCACACACAGACGTGCACGCACACGCAGGTAGCCGCGTATTCCCACAGGCCCTTGGTCACCGCACCTGGATGTCTGCCCAGAATTCGGTGTCGTGGGGGCAGCTCTGTCGCGTCTCACCAAAGGCGTGCAGCAGCTCCTCCCAGGACCGCGCAGCCCTGGCACGCAGCTGGGACAGCTCGGAAGCGGCAGCCAGCGTCTCAGACAGCACCTAGCACAAGACAAACAAGGGGGAGGGAGGGTTAAAAGTAAAAGTGTTTTTGGTCAAGGAATGGCCACAAACCAGCGCACTGTAGGGCAGGCTGGGGCTGGCAATGAGCTTGGCTGCAGATGCTCAAAGCCATTAACAACATGGAGCTGCTGGCTGCTTGGCAGCCAGCCAGCAACGAAGCTGTGAGTCACATGCGCAACACTTGCCACTAGCAGCATCGCAAGCAGCCCACCCCGCCCCTCCCCGCACCTCTGCCACGACGTGCTGCAGGTTGTCTGCAATCAGCACCACACGCACGCGCGGCTCGGCTGCCTGCTGATGCCCAGTTGGTGACGTTGCTGGCGGCTGGTCCAGGGCCAGCCTGAGCACCACACCCGGCTCTGAGCGCTCCAGCTCCGCCTCGGCCTGGCGCGCGGCAGACTCAACCTGCGGCAAGCAGGGTGTGTGTGGGCGGGGCAGTCTCATGTGTTTAAATGTGTGTGTGAGTGTGTGTGTGTGTGTGTGTGTGTGTGTGTGTGTGTGTGTGTGCGCGTGCGTGCGCACGCGTGTGACGAGGGTGGGATGCACTGAGATGTGGCAGGAAGCAAGTGGGCCTGAGGGCGCCGCCTTGAAGCCCACAACCACAACAAGCTGCGGACAGGAGCGCGCCACCCGTGGTACAGCCTGCAGGATCTGAGAGCCTACAACAGACCCTCTTCTCGGCTAGTGCCCCTGTGGACACATGCAGCACTCCATGATTGCACTCCTCCAATTGGACCCGCCCTCCATCCCCCGCTCCAACCCCCTCAGACCTGGGCCAGGAGGTCGTCGGCATCCCCTAGGCTCAGCCGCAGCCGCGGGCTCACAACGTGCGGCACCTCATCCACCAGCACAGGCTGCGGTGCCCCCACACCCTCCGGCCCGCTGCTGGCGCGCCCGCCTGCACCTCCGCCGCCGTCCGCACGCCGCGCGCGCCCGGCCACCTCCCTCGCGACGGCCTGCAGCAGCGTCGACCTGCCGTCCGCGCTGCGGCTGTCCGCCAGCTTGTTCAGGCTCCGCAGGCGGAACCCCGCGGCCGCGCCCAGGCGCGACCCGTGGTTCAGGAAGTTGCCGGCGGCCAGCGCCACGGACAGCGCCGCGTCCAGGGTCGGGCTGGCTGCCAGCTCGCGCGCTGCGCGGGCGTGGTCCTGTCGTGGCGTTCGGGTTGGCGGGGTGCAGGGTGACGAATGCGCGAGGGATGCTGGAGGCATATACGATGGGCTGCAAAGTGTGCGTGGAGGGTGTTCTACCTGGCGATGGGGCTAGCAAGAGGCGAACCAGCAGACCAGATGGCGCCGTCAACAGGTCTTGGCGGACGGCTCATTCCAGTCGCCACCCCGCACCACGCCCCTCGGACCCCTCATCGCGATCTCTCCCCCCTCCCCACCGTGTAAATGGCGCCCGCCTCGGCCCTCTTCTCCGCCACGACGTACCGCAGGCTCAGGGACCGCAGCCGCGCGGCAGCGCGCGGCACCGCCATCAGCGCCAGCACGAAGCGCTCTGCGTCACTCAGGGCCTCGGCCGGCTTGCCGGACGCCACGTAAGCCTGCAGGAGGAGGGGGGGAGAGGGGGTCGGTGCCTTGCGGCGCTGTCGTGGGGTGTTCCAGGGTGCCAGCTAATAAGCACGAGAGTGTGCATGTTGGTTGACGGACACAATCCTCTTGCTGGCATCAACAGGCCAGACCTTGCATGTATTCCTTCCAAGGACGACCCAACAGTAACACCCCTACCCATCGCCCGACCGCACTTCGTCGTCACCCCACCGGCCGGCCCCGCCCACTCCCCGACCCCCCTGACCTCCAGCTGTGCCCTCTCGTCCTCTGACGGCAGGCACTGCAGCAGTGTGGCCACGTCCTCCGCACTGCCAAACACACCTGTGTCCAGCGTCAGGACGGCGTCGGCCGCGGACTGGCGTGTGCAGCGCATTGCAGGGGGCCGAGGGCGCGGGGGGGGGGGGGGTGTGCTGGTCAGGAGCTGGCCAGCCAGTTTCAGGCCAGCTCTAGCTGGTGACAACTGGGGCGGCCTTATTGATGACGCAGCTTGTGCCGGGATGTGTTCCGCAGCCGCCCGAACCGTGCTGCTGGAGGCGTCCTCACCTGCCACGGCACCTTGAGCCGCGCAATGCGTATGCCGATGGCGGTGCAGCGCTTGAGGTCCAGCACCGTGATCTGGCGCGGGGCAGTAACGCGCTGCCTTGGGGCGCGCTGCACCTGGGGTGGTTTGGTGGGTGGGCGGTGGGGTAACGAGGGGCGATGCGCGGGGCGTGTTGGCAAGTTACGCGCCGAGCGTCCCCCTGTCACAGTTTCCAAAGTCACATTTGAGTGCATGCACGACACTCATGGCGCTCAAACCTCTGTGATTAACCCCCTGAATCTCCCTGCATGCCCTGCCCTTGTCCTGTTTATGCTGCGTTGTCATTACGACATCCCCCCCCGCCTTCCCGGGGGGACAAGTGCATTGTCTTGAGGCACGTGTTTCAGCAACACGTGCACAAGCACACACATACAAGCACACGCGCATGTGCACAGGCACCCCCACATGCGCGCGTGCACACACACACACACACACACACACAGGCACGCACACACACACACACACACACACACACACACAATCACAAGCACCGGCCGTCTCAACCTGTGCAAAGCCCTCCTCCAGGGCGTCGTAGTCAATCCACAGCGCCGGGGACAGCCGCACCCACTTGCTGGCAGCCAGCCGGGCCTCTGGCAGCTTGTCCCAAAACAGGCTCTTCATCTTGCGGCGGGGTGCGGGGCCGGGGTCGGAGGGAGGCGGGCGCGGCGTGCCCAGGGGGGAGGCCAGCTTCCCACCCAGCAGCGGCGGCGGCGGC